ACAGCTCGGGTTGGCTCGTTCCTCGGGCTTGCTAGCCACAACACTTTCTGCATTGGGATAGGTCCGCCACATGTAGCCGCGACCTTCGCGCACTTCAAGCTTGTAACCCTTCACTGGTAGACCTCCGGTGTTGACGGGTGGCGCCCATGAGAGTTCCACCGTCCCGACCTCACCCTCACGAACGTATAGCGGACCTCTGGGTGCACCGGGGGCTTCTGAAATTTGAAAAAACACCAAAAATGATACGGTGAGTTGCAAGAATTGCAATAGGCGATTATGCAGCAGTTAGCACTCTCCCGTTTATATGCAGAAGCCTTAAGAGTTGTTGAAGGCAAACTGAATGATGTAATTTACCAACCACACACTTCCCCGAAGGAATCAGCTTTCGTAACAGTCTAGTATAGGGCTCACCACGGAAACCAAACTCCCAGAATTCTGTAATACGGGACCGATGGGGCATAACGTGGACGCAGAAGAGAAAATAAAAGGAATATATCAAACTAAAACGGGAAATAAAATATTGTTATTATTCAAAAATCCAAAATATAGCAAAGACAGAACATGCGATAATTGCAAAATAAACTAAAATAAAAATACGTCGCTCATTTATTACAGAAGTCTCGAGTTTGGTTTCCTTAGTGAGCCCTATAGCAGACTGCAAACCAGCCTTTCTGTGTTAATCGCTTGCCTGTGACTAGGCTGTTTTGAGAATCTTTCGCTAGAGTTTTTACTCACCCTAAAACAGAAGCATCCTCTTTCAGCGAGTATAAAAGGAAAATATTGTGTTGTAGGAGGGAGGGAGGGGGGTGGAGGAGGTGGGCCTACCAGTCATTTTGCGTGGATGGACATCAACTGCGGTAGCAAGCGGTTCGGAGAAACCGTTCTTGTTCTCCGCAACGACCTGGAACTCGTAGGATGTTCCCTCCATGAGGTAGGGCACCTTGAATTCAAACTGACGCTGACCACTGCCCTGGGGTACCGGGCAGCGGCCAACTTCTTGCTTGCTGCGCCGGAACATTTCTCGTTTGTAGATACGGTAGCCGGTGATTGGCGCACCTCCATCGCTGAGTGGTGCCTTCCAACTCAGGACGCAACTGTCCTGGGTGATATCACTGACGC